AAAAAAAAAAAAAAAAGTTTCAGCGACATAGAGCTACTTTCACATTTTCCTTCATCATAAAGTCTGCAGTTCTCCTTTTCTCCACAGGTGGGCAGCATGTTCATAGCAGATGCCCATGAGAAAATCTCAGTACAGTAAGTGCTTGACATTCTCAGCAGTGACTCAGACTTCAGTGTAAGCTCTCCTGCTGGATATGAAAGTGGGAAGTGTTACTTCTGGATGATCTTTTACAGATTCAAACTTTTTTTGGTGATTTTATCAAATGTTCCTTTTGTTTTAAACAATAATAGATCCTTAGAAATCTCTGTTTTGATATTGTGTATAGGCCTCAAGAAAATGCAGAACTATCTCAGGAATGAAATGCAAGAGGTCTGAGTATCTGAACTAGATAAAGGTTTAACTGGATGGGATGGAAAAGCAGGAGGGAAGATAGTGAATGAAGTAGAGAAGAGCAGGTCTGGAGGACTTCCTTTCCTCGGCTGTATACTTCTGCATCTGCCACACAGGAAGTACATGGGAGCATTAGAAACTCAGAGGGAGTGACCTTAGGGAGCTGTGGTGGAAGCTTACCTTGATGATGATAATGTTTTAATGCCTCACGGTCAGGTGCTCCAATTTGTTCTCTTTTTCTTTAGAACCAATGAGGCCATTCTTCTGGCACTTTATGAAGCTGTTCATTTGAATCGCAACTTCATCACAGTGTTAGCTCAGGTTGGTAACATTAAAAACCCCAACTTATTGTTCTCCCTGAATTTCACACAGATTCATTCTATTAAAGGGGTCCTGGTTATAGCTGTTTAGACTCTGCTTCCCCTTGGTAAGTGGCAGTAACAGAGTAACACCATGCTGTCTTCAAGTCCTCAAGTAAGTCATTCCTGAAGTAAGTTGGTGTCATGACATGCAAAGTTCCTGGTTCTGTTAAACCCAGGGACTTGCAATTACTTCATTTTGCTCACTAGAAAGTCCCAGTGTTATCTGTGGGGTTTTTTTGTTGTTGTTGTTGTTGTTGGGGTTTTTTTTTGTGTGTTTTTTTTTTGAGACAAAGTCTCACTATATATTCAGGCTGGCCTTGAACTCAGTGTGTAGTCCAGGCTGGCCTCTTACTCAGTGATCCTTCTGCCTCAGTCTCCCAAGTGTTGGGATTACAGGCATGTGCAACCACGCCTACCTCTGGTGTTTATTTTTATTTATGACTTTCTGCTTTCCAAACCCCTGTGGAATTATAGCTGAAAATAAAATAGGCCATCACTTACTTTATCTTACCAGTTTGCAGAGAAGTAAAAAATATCCTCCTCAGGTTATGGTTAGCTGTTAACAGATAGCTGTCTTTGAAAAGCAGGAAGACGTAGGATACTAGTGCTGGGTCACATGCCAGAGGGATAGCCTCTCTAGCTGGCACAGAGGGGTACTAAAATAGGTTAAGAACTCAAGTTCATGAAAGCTATTTTAAAAAATTGATGAAGTGTTTTTATCTTAAAGTGAGACTCTTTAAAATATATATGTAGGTTTCTTTTCAGGGAAAGTTTGCTTATGCTTTTTTTGTTTTCCTCTCAAAGACCAGATGTATATGGAATCCACAGAGTTTTAGCCA